AACCCCGAAAAAACTTGTGTTTAAATGTATTCAGTCCAGCAGAGATGTAAAACTATATTTGTTTGTCAAAAAGGACATTTTAAGTGCCAGCTATTCTTTAAGGGAAAATATATTCTATATATATTCTAAGAATAAAATGTTGCATAGCATTGTAAAAAAAAATAAAAAATAAAAAAAAACTTTTTTTGAATCGTTTCTCGTTGTAATATATCCTTAACCCTGTTTTCTTGTTAGAATGAGAACTTAAACTAGGTCAGAATCAGCCCCCCTCCCCCCCCCCTCCTCAGGTATTCATCCTAATGAAGTTAAGGGTATTTTAAACCTGACGTTTACGTGACAAAATGATGCTAATTTTGCTCAATAGATTCCAGTATATAGTATATACATTCCTTGGTGTCTCTTACATGTACATTGTATATAAATGTATATTCTAACATGTAAAATTGTACATAAATGTATATTCTAAAATGTATTTTCTAACATGTATTTTCTAACTACACCTAGACTATACCTGGAGTAATCAACTAAACTAAAATAGTCCAATAAAAATATACTCTCTACAATGAAAAGATTCAAAGGATTCAATGGATTTTTCAATAAAACTTGAGTATCTATTTCAGCTATGCACCTCTGAACCTTTATTAAAAGTAAATTCAACCTAAAGTCTGACCGTGTCAACCTTGTTGCACCGGCTAGTTCTATTGAGTGTCTGCTTTATTTACCCAATGTCCGGGCGATACATTCAAAACTGGGACCGGAAAGGTTGAACCGAAATTCAAATGTGCTACGGCTGCCGGTGAGCTGTTAGAATATCTGCGATGAGCATTGGTGTCCGATGAGAAAGTTACAAGGATTAGAATATTGTTCCGAGTTCCTACATTATAAGTGGTTTGTTAACAGTGGCGTAATCAGAAATTTGTCCGGGGGGGGGGGCTTAGCATCCATAGCCCACCCTGACTACGCTTCCGTTTGGAATAATAACTCTGCAATTTTAAAACCAACGGAATATCTGATAAACCAATTAAATTTCATTCAAGTCTTAAAAAACATTGAAGAACGAAGCGCTTGAAATATCTCCTGAAGGGACCCTCCATGCAAAGATGGCAATGCCCGATTTACAACGGTACCCTTGAGCGCTTTGTCTGATCAAGTATGCATTAGTTGTATTGTTTTTGTTTTTTTAAACTGTTTTGCGGTTTCTCTACGTACCAAGAAACAATGCAAAAAATCACAAAAATACACACTTTTTGAATCTGAAAAACGACGGTATATTCCCTGTTTTGGACAGATTAAGGTTTCAATGGAGTTGTAAATAGAGCATTGATTTTTTGCATGAAATGTCACTTGAAATTACGCTTACAGTCCCTTTAAGAAAGGAAAATATGCAAAACTATTTCGTCCGAAATATCTCTAAAATCCTAATGGTTTGAAGAGATAGCGCCACTTCAAATATGTGACAGTTAAAGAGCGTGATTACTAAGCACATTATTTGGAACTAAAGAATTCGAAAAGTGAACAAACTGTGCAGCGGAGGTGTGTGGTATTGATACACTGTTCTGAAAGGTAATCGTACAAGAAAATAAAATTTCTCATTTGGTGATGGTGATGGACCAAACCTCTATAGAGTAAAAAAAGTAGGTGTTAGTTTCACATTTATTGAAAATATATTTCGGTCTGGGTTGACCCTCATCAGTTCTAACGATATATTAACCATCAAGATCGATTAAGAAATTTTTTTTGTTCAAACCCACAAGAAAATAAACAAACTAACAAGGTTATTTTAAAAGAAAAAAATGGGGGGGGAACAAAAGGAAAACGAACTCAGATCATGAGATGGAAAAAGATAGTTTACAAATATTCAGTTAAAAAAAATAGTTTTAAAACAATTATTATTCCTTGAGATTGTTTCTGTCAGGAAGATTAAAAACAAACTGTTTAGATGTATTTGTATAAAGTGGTGGTGGGGGTCGATCTAATTAACGAACTTTTACGTAAATCGGGGGGGGGGGGGGGGGGGGGGGTGGTACATCCTGAAGTATATAACAATCTATTGTTAACCAAATGTCGTAGACGTACCGTACCTTTTAATATTGCTTTCTTTTCTTTATCAAATATATTAACACTAGAAATTCAAGGCACTTCGCGCCCTTCTTTCTAGGCTTTTAAATTGTGAGCATGTTCTTTTTGTTTACATTTTAAAACAAAGAAAAAATTTTTTTGTGGATTTTTAAAAAAAAATCGTGGATTTTCAAGAATTTAATTTTTTTTACAAAATTAAAAACCTTTAAAACACATTTTTTTAAATTTTTATCATTCATAAACCTTCCCTGTGGTCACGTGATGTCCCACAAAAATTTGGGCCCGATCGGTTCAGCCGTTTTGACGTTTATTGGATACAAACAGACAGACAGACAAACAGACAAGCCAAATTTATATATAGAAGGTTATTAACCCAATAAACCCATGTATTACTATGCGGAAGTTTATTGATCTACTTGCAGTCTACAGGGTGACCCACTAAAAATGACACTTGAGAGCCGAATTGTTTTTATAATTTGTGGCATATTTCCGTCAATCAAAATACACAAAGTCATGGTATTTCCAAATGTGGTCTGCCTTTTTTCTACTTTCAAAATACTCGGAGAGATATCTAATTTTTTCCATATTTAAAACATTAAACTAAACCTTTATACGTTGATTGTCTTAAAGAAACAAAGGAGCAAGACCGCTCAATCATTGTGCAGCATTTTTTAATGCATTTATTGTCATTATTTAACAACCATATAGACGATATTTTATTCGTCTCTTAATTCTGTCATGTTTTGTGAAACACCCGTAATTGCGTATTTTCTTAATTCTGTCATGTTTTGTGGGACACCCTGTAATTGCGTATTTTCTTAATTCTGTCATGTTTTGTGGGACACCCTGTAATTGCGTATCTTCTTAATTCTGTCATGTTTTGTGGGACACCCTGTAATTGCGTATTTTCTTAATTCTGTCATGTTTTGTGGGACACCCTGTAATTGCGTATTTTCTTAATTCTGTCATGTTTTGTGGGACACCCTGTAATTGCGTATTTTCTTAAATCTATCATGTTTTGTGGGACACCCTGTAATTGCGAATTGTCTAGTCTATTTCCCAGAACTGGTGTACGTCATACGTTCTAGGAAATAATAAATTAATGTGTTATCATATTGAATATTCTTTTTTATTCTATAAACATTAATTATAATCGTAATTTGTTATAAGCATAGATCTAATGGTTAAATTTTTCGGAATAATATTTATTTACAGAAATGGAGAATTTTTCAAAAAACCCGAATTTTCAAATTTTCAAATTTTGAAAATAAACTATTTCTCTAGAATATTTCTTTAGTAAATTATTTCTCTAGAATATCTCTTTAGTAAACTATATCTCTAGAATATCTTTTTAGTAAACTATATCTCTAGAATATTTAAAAAAAATTGTATCTCTAGAATATCTCTTTAGTATACTATATCTCTAGAATATCTCTTTAGTAAACTGTATCTCTAGAATATCTCTTTAGTAAACTATATCTCTAGAACATCTTTTTAGTAAACTATATCTCTAGAATATTTTTTTAAAAATTGTATCTCTAGAACATCTCTTAAGTATACTATATCTCTAGAATATCTCTTTAGTAAACTCTATCTCTAGAGTTTCTCATAAGTAAACTCTATCTCTAGAATATCTCTTTAGTAAACTGTATTTCTAAAATACCTCTTTAGTAAACTCTATCTCTAGAATATCTCTTTAGTAAACTATATCTCTAAAATATCTCTTATAGTAAACTCTATCTCTAGAACATCTCTTTAGTAAACTCTATCTCTAGAAAATCTCTTTAGTAAACTGTATCTCCAGAATATCTCTTTAGTAAACTATATCTCTAGAATATCTCTTATAGTAAACTCTATCTCTAGAATATCACTTTAGTAAACTCTATCTCTAGAATATCTCTTTAGTAAACTTTATCTCTAGAATATCTCTTTGGTAAACTGTATCTCTAGAATATCTCTTTAGTAAACTGTATCTCTAGAATATCTCTTTAGTAACTCTATCTCTAGAATATCTATTTAGTAAACTGTATCTCTAGAATATCTCTTTAGTAAACTATATCTCCAGAATATCTCATAAAGTAAACTCTATCTCTAGAATATCTCTTTAGTAAACTCTATCTCTAGAATATCTCTTTAGTAAACTCTATCTCTAGAATATCTCTTTAGTAAACTGAATCTCTAGAATATCTCTTTAGTAAACTCTATCTCTAGAATATCTCTTTAGTAAACTGTATCTCTAAAATATCTCTTTTGTAAACTGTATCTCTAAAATATCTCTTTAGTAAACTCTATCTCTAGAATATCTCTTTAGTAAACT